ACACAGTCATAACAACTACATAAAGACGGAATTAGCTTTCTTAAGGAAGTGAGCCACTCCGGATCTCTAATTGTATCAGATTTTCTCCAGTGGATTTCTGACTTCCTCAACAGCCGAGCGCCGGAAAATCCTATTGAATGTCGGACATCGGCCTGGCCCTGAACACCCGTGGGGAGAAGGATTTGCTCCCTGCTAGTTTTTCAGCATCGTCAGCCACAGGTGTTACCGAAGCAGGATCTGAAATTTATTTTTGACCTTAGCTTCAAACGGCCCCCACTTGCCATGCCCAGGAGCTGTGTTGGCTGGGAGATTTCGGCAGTCATAGTAAAGAAGAAGAAGATGATGATGATGTCACTTTTCAGGGTCTGAGCATCAGCCCCTGGGGTGGGGGGCATTGTGGAAAAGAGAGCGTGAGATTTATTCTCTCTCTGATCCCCCATCAGCTGTTCTTCCCTGCAATGACTCTGTAAGAAGCGAGAAGGCCTAATATCTATAAACAGATCCTCCATTTTTCAGCACACTACTGTATACCTTTTTTGAACTGCATATGCTGAGAATCAGCAACTAGGGTGCCAGTCCCCAAGAAAACCTAGTTATTCTCACCAGGTCATGTCTGGTTCAGTGTTGAGGAAGGGCTCCCGAAATGTCCTCTTGTGAACTCCGTTGTTGAGGTCTTGCAAACTCAAGGTGATGGCTTCTTTTACTGAGTCAATCCATCTCGTGTTCGGTCTTTGTCTTTTCCTGCTGCCTTTCACTTTTCCCAGTGTAATTTTCTTTTTCGGCCAGTCGCATCTTGACAATAGATTCAGTTAAGGTGATGTAAATGAGAAGAGGGAACTATTAATATACACATAGCTGTGTTTTATTTTCTGCTACTTCTTTGCAATTTGCTTTTTTTTTGGTTCTCTCGCTTGGCCTTGCTGTCATGATTGCTTTGGCCAAAGAGTGAGGAATAAATCAGCTGAAACAAATGCTCCCCTGTTAAAATGCCAGGCAGAGGGAGGGAGGGAGAGAGAGAGACAAACCTTCGGTCTCCTTTGCCATGGATATTGTTGCTGCAATACAGATGGGATCAGAGGTGGAAAACCTTCTCTCTTCTTATTCTTCTTTTTTTTGGGGGGGACCACATATCCCATAATCCTGGGATCTGCCAGGTGGGGATTCTGGAAGACGTAGTCCGCACCAGGAATTTTCCCAACATCTGGGTAGGATTTTGTTGAGAAGAAGAATTAAAAGAGAAAAGAGAGAGCGCCCAAAATGGAAAGTATCTGAGATTCTTCTGTCAGGTTTTCTGCTTTGTTTGCACATACACAAAAGATTTGCGCTGGCACCGCCTTTTGGCCTCCTCAGAGCAATGCCAATCAGGGAGACGCCTTGCTTTCCCCCCCCCCCTTCCTCCGTGGCAGCCGGGCATCTCCCAAACTTTCCCTTTCTGCTTCTCCCGCCTCTTCCTCCCCCCCCCGCCCCGCAAGTAAGGAAATGGTTTGAGGTTTCTTTTCATGGGCTGCTCCACCTTTGGTCCAGGTGGAGGTGAGTCACCCGCTGGCAGGTCGAGGCAGGCAAGGCGGCGGGTCGGGTTGGGCCCCAGAGGTGGGCGGCAGGCAGGCAGGGAGGCCTCGGTGCCGGCAGGGCCCTGCGACGCCTGGCGCCTTTGGGGAAAGGGCTGTGCCAGGGCAGGTCGGAGTCCCCTCGGTCGTGGCACCGCTTGTGATTTCTCGGAAGGAGGAGCCGGACAGATTTGCCAGCGGGAATATCTCCGTGTATCATAGCAAGGACATGTGTCGGGGCAAACGGCCTGTCCGGGATACGAGTACGTAGATCTCTGGCTGGGCCCCCTCTTCGGCAGCCCACAAGCTGCCCGTGAGTAGATGTATCGTCTGGAATCCAGAAACAGGTCTCCTGCTAGCTCTCAAAAGTCAGTGGGGCATCCATGTTCAAGAGCAGTCTATCTCCAGGTAGCATGTTCCGGTGCAGCAGGCAGGCTGTGGAGGGCTGCTGCCTTTCCACCCTTCTGGAACTTTTCCCAGAGGCATTGTCCCCGTGGGCTGAGGACAATGGGTACTGTTGTCCTTGGTGGGGTCAGGGAAGGACATTTTACTGGCAAGTCTAAGGTCTTGTGCTCCTTTGTGTCTGTCCCACAACGCAGGTTGCGGCAGCTCCATTGATCCTCTCCTTGGGCCAAGTCCCAGCGCTGAGATAAGAAAGTCAGAGCAGAAGTCGGGACGCAGCCCAGCCGCCTCTCCCCCCCACCCCACCCACCCCTGGCCAGCTGCCCGGTCCTGATAGGAGGGCCGAGGCTGGGGCACAGGGCGGACCGAAGCCGTCGGGAGCGATTAGAACGAGGGGCTGTGCCAAGAAATATCCTATTAGGCTCCTGTTTAATTGATTTCGTATTGCTTTTATTCCAAAGATGTATAAGCCACTTTGCAGAGCATCCTTCCCACCAAACAAGGCTCAAAAGCAATAAGGGAGACACCAGCCTTTTGGAAAATACTGGGGATGTGGATTTTGGGTGTTGTAGTCCCAGGTCAGAAGAGAGAGGCAAGTTCTGGAGACCCCCAGAGAGCAAAGGGTGTCTGAGAGAGAGAAAGGGGGGCCTGAAAGATGACCTGGGAAGGGAACAAGAAAACCTAGAGAGATTTAAGGAGGACCGTCTCTAGGACATCTTCATTGTGGCTGGACTACACCTCCCATCCTTCTAGGATGAGGCTGATGGGGTTTGGAGTCTTGATCACACCAAGACAGCTGGAACTTTCTTGTGTGTGGCTTAAGCATACCCACTTAAGCACAATTCCCAGGGTTGGAAAAATGATGGAAGAGCGTATTTTTATTTTTTATTTTTTGCTGAGTCACTTTTTCCTGACATGCTGCGGTGGTTTTTTTCCCTTCCTTTTTTCTCTTTTCCTCGCTCCTAATTTTGGGTCTGCCCGCAGCCCTCCCCTGGTGTTTCTCCTGCGCGTCGCTCGTCTTTTGCTGAAATCCAGGATCCCAGCAACATCTGAGGCGTGAAAACCAGATCCCCCCCCCACCAGCTGTTTCTTCTCCCCTGTTTTGTTTTGTTTTTTGCTGTTTTATAAACGGGTTTCTTTATACTCTTCATGCTTTTGTTTAAAAAAAAAGGCTGATCAAATGTTGGTTCCTTGAGGAGCTGCGGGGAGCAGGCGGAATTAAACGAGTTCCCGGTGATGTCCGAGAGCGGGTCCTGTGACCGACCCGGGCGGGCGTTTGGCCCCTCCGCCTGCCCCGGGGGTCCACCCTTGGCGGTCCAGCAGCCGTCCATCCGAGGGCAGCTGGCTTGAGTTCAAGCCACCACCGAATTCTGCCTTGACCTTGATTCCGAGTAAACAGGCCTCTTACTCCATAGCCTGATGCTTGGGGACTTCCTGGCTCGCTGGGTGACGTGAGCAATCGCGAAAGCTCGAGGCACCCAAGCCGAGAGCCGGTGACCCCGTCTTGCCTTTTGGCAGTTTTTGTCCAAAAAAAGAGAAAAGAAAAAAAAAGAGGGAAGTTGAGGCTTCTCTCCTTCCCCCACCCCCCTCGCTTTGTGCCTGCGTGTGTTTTTAAGGCCTCTCGTCTGGTTCTATGGAAACTGAGGGCTTCCTGTTATCTCAAATAATTATTTTTTCACAACCGCCCTCCTGGAATCTTTATCTGTTTGATTTTGATCTTTCTCCAAAGGAACCACGGTTCATTTCCACAGAGCCTTGAGTCAGCAAAGGGCCATCTTTTGCAAGAAGGACAGAGCTTTTTAAAATACACAACACACACACACACACACACCAAAATGGCAAGCAAACTGTGTTTTTCGGATTCATGTAAAGACATTGAGAACATATAGCTGTCGTGATGCGCTGTCGCCTTGTCTGCAGCTTATATCAACCCTGGGAATGAATAACCTCTAAAATGTCCTGTTTTCACCAGTCCTGCTCAGCTCGTGCAAACTCAGGGTTGTGGTTCCTTTATAGAGTTGATCTGTCTCATTTTTGGTCTTCCTCTTTTCCTACTGGCTTCAATTTTTCTTACCATTGCTGTATTTTGAGAGTACATAAAGGGCGGATCTCGTAGGCAGCATCAGGGGCTGGTTTGCCAGAAAGAGAACCTCCAAAAACACAGGCTGGTGTCCGCGTCAAAATTGAGCCATTACATGGTTGGGTAATAACCTCCAGAATCCCTTGCTTGTACTAGTTGGGGGATTCTGGGAGTTGTAGTCTAAGAAAGTCTGTTAGAAGCTCAGACCCTTGACTATAAGGTTTACAGAGGGTTTTTTTAAGTGTTAGAAAAAGAGCAGAAGGGGACCAGCCAAAGTCCAGCAGTCAGAGAGAAAAAGCCTGATAGAAACTCTGTGGGGGAAACTGTGGACTACAGTTCCCATCATCCACTGGCCCACAGGACCATTTCTGGTTGGGAAAGGTGCTCTGAGCCATTTCCCAGGAAGAGGTGTAGTAGTGGTTAGAGCATCAGTTCTGAATGGGAAAAGTCCAGCTGAAAAACCCTCTTTCTACCTCTCTCTGTTCTCTTCTTTTCTGTGTCAAATGCAAGGAGAAGAAACAAGGGAGAAAACACATCTTGTTCAACAACCAGGGGTTGTTTTGAGACATCTCATGCCTGTATCCCGAGAAACCCTGAGGTCTAGAACCTTGAAAGAGCTTTGACGGTTTAGGGCAGAGGTGGGACTACCAAGGCGATGCGGGTAGGACTTTGACATGAAC